GAGAGTTTTATAAATAAGACGCACAAATGTGCAAGGTACTACCACTAGCTGAATAATACAACCAACAACTGAGAAAACTGGGAGGACAGGTCCTAGGACCGCCTAGAATCTCCATCTAGCAACGCTAGAATTACTCGGCAACACACTAACACACAAACAAACTACATAAATCAAAAGGCTCCCAAGAGGAGAATGAGAGAAACCGACCCCAACAGGGTAATGCTCACTCTCTACTCAGGCAGTACAGAGGCCAACGGCCCAAACAAAAAACACAAGACTGAACAGGCAAACTAAAACACACACGACAAAGCCTAACAAAAACTAAAAAATCGAGGCCCTCCCTCGGCAGCACATCCAAATTGACCAGCAGACATAGGCCAACTCCAAGGAGAGAACCGAAGCATAGCACACCCGCCACTGCCTATTGCCTAGCAAAGACTACCTGAACCTCGAACCAATCCGAACGAATCGACCCGCTCTTCGACTGTAAGAAACCACAATCGCCCTTCAACCGACTAACACAACTAGCCCAGTCCGACACCATACCGAAGTCGACTAACACCACTAGCCAAAGTCGGGAATGGCTGACCTCCCTCGGCCTCCGAATCAGAGAACAAGGAAGGAAGAGGATCGAATGGCTACAAAGCCCCAACGAACCTACAAAACCCAGACAAGCGAGACGCTCTCCATCCAGCCCTAAAGACGGCACCCAGACCCCCTCTCCCCAGCTACGCCGAGATGCCGGTGACCAGAAATCACACACTGACCCCGACAAGAGCAAGAGATCGAGTACAGACTCAAGACCCAGCAAGAAGAACCGCCTCAGTCTGGTGAGAACGTAGGCCATCAGAGCCACCACCATCTCTAGATCCAGAACTCCTCCTTCCAAACTACTTCGGGACGCCGTCGCACATAGCCCAGAACAGACCACTTGCGCGACCAGGCTGGTAAAGACCGTCAGAACCCCTAAGCAATCGACGGAAGAAAGAGAGCCCTTCGACTGGAACATGGTTGAGCAATGAAGAGCCGTCCACCGACGACCCGGACGGCAGCAGAAGGAGGCTCAGAGAGGCGGAGATTGACGGGAGTTAGGCTTCAGCGATTTTGGAAATTTCAGGATAGACGAGAGCTTAAATTAGCCCCCATTTTCAATATATGGTTGAAATGATGTTTTGTTAAATTATATGCAATGGTACCGTGTGATAAGATGATATATTATCAAGTAGAAAATGTACCGTCTCATATTAGTATATTT